ACACCAAGATCTTTTTCTTTCATAACAATGTTAAGATTATTCCTATCAAAATTTTACTCATAACTGAAGTTATGATATCCTGTATACGTTATCTGACATTTATTATAATTAAAAGTCGTCTACTGTTTACTCCCCACTACCAAGTAATTCAAATCCTTTTGTAATACAGCAGCATCCTCCTCACAGCCACCCCGAGATGTAAAGGTTGTCATACATCTGATTGAGATGTTTAAGATCAATGGAGTTGATAGTGTTCATATATCATTTATTCTGTATTCATTAGTAAAAATGGTAAAACTAGGGAACACAAATATAAACTTTGGCATGGTAGGAGTTATCTTCATCTAAAACCACTTTATTTTTCTCAAGTGGTGGTTGCCTTTGGAACATGTTGTCTTCAGATATAGTTGATGTAATTAATATAATGAAGTTCAAAACATGATAAATATTTGAATGATAATAATGGCTGACTGAGTTTTTTTAGTGTTTAGTTTAATTTAGTTGATAGAACAAACTAGATGGACCAAAAGGCCCTTTGTTGTCCTTTAATGTTATGTTGTAGTCAGTTAGGTCCTGATGAGAAATCTTTCTTATTGCTATAATGGCTGGGATTCAAACCTGGATCTTTATGTCACAATGGCCGAGATTTAATCCTGGATCTTCTTGTTAGAATGGCTGAGATTTAATCCTGGATCTTCTTGTCATAATGGCTGAGATTTAATCCTGGATTTTCTTGTTATAATGGCCGAGATTCAATCCTGGATCTTCTTGTTAGAATTGCTTAGGCGTTATCTGTTCACTTGTGGTTTTCCCTTAGGACTTAAACCATCTTGTTTGAATGCTTTCAAAATACTAACAAAAGTTAGAAATTAGAAGCATTACAGAAAGAGAAAACTATAAAAACAGTATCTGTAACAGGCAGAAGACCATACAATAACTTAGAATAATACTAAAATAACAGGATATCTGTAACAGGTGGAAGATCATAGAATAACTTAGAATAATACTAAAATAACAGGATATCTGTAACAGGCAGAAGACCATACAATAACTTAGAATAATACTAAAATAACAGGATATCTGTAACAGGTGGAAGATCATAGAATAACTTAGAATAATACTAAAATAACAGGATATCTGTAACAGGCAGAAGACCATACAATAACTTAGAATAATACTAAAATAACAGGATATCTGTCACAGGCAGAAGACCATACAATAACTTAGAACAATACTAAAATAACAGGATATCTGTAACAGGCAGAAGACCATACAATAACTTAGAACAATACTAAAATAACAGAATATAAGCCATAACTGATAAAACAAACCTTCTACATGTATCTATCTAATAAAATACTTAGTCAACGAAAGGAAACCTCTCAAATGGGGGGGGGGGGGGAAAGAGACCCAGAATACTCAGGATATAATCTCAACCATCACACATCAGAAATAATTCTTCTCAGTAATTCCATTAAGACAGCATCAGCTGAAGCATATTATTTATTAATTAGTATCTAGCACTAGTAGTTTAAAAAGTTGGCTTAAATACTAAAGAATATTATGTTCACTTGATTAATAACATAACAATTACCTACTAACTGTAGCACTGAGGTATTCATTTATAATATCATAATGATTAAGCAAAATCTCAGAATCTAGTTAATACCGTTGCTAGACTATCACTATAGCTTTGTATTACTATAACATTGGGTTTAGCTAAATTTCTACATACCTTATTACTATCACTAGCAGCCTGATGTATTTATTTATTTTCAATTTTATGTGGGTCAAACAAACATGATGTTCACAATTTCCTTGTAAAAATTATTAGTATCAATAACCATGCTTAGTGTAACTAAGTTATTAATCTAATTATCGTACAAATATTGACATTAGCACAGTACTAACTAGTACTACATAATCCAAAAATAATAACACTTATGAAAACTTTGATACTAAAACACTAATACTGGGTAATAGTAACATCAGTATACTTCAGTATTTCCTCTAAGAATTCACATTTTTTTATTTTCATTTAATGTACGAAATTGCAGACAGCAAAACAAATTTAATTATATAGTTAATCCTTTTTTCAATTGTAGGCTTAAGTTTAAAGTTAAAAACGCGTATATTTTTATTAGAAATAGAAAAATTATTTAATTTTGAACTTGAATTTTCTTTTCTCTGCTGACAGGTCTAGTCATTTTTATTACGGCCCAGATAAATTTTTCTATTGATTTCAAATACAAAATTTAGTAGTTTTTATTTTCAATATCTTTTTTTATTTCCATCATTTTTTCGAAGTACAGTGTATCATTTATCCGTGCAAGAACCACATTAAAAAAAAACATTATTAATATTATTATAACTGATTGTTAATCTAAAAACGATGTATTACGTAATGTCAAGTATTTTATAACTTCATTCTGCTTGTAGATATAGTGCAACTTACACGTCAAAACAACTTAGTTTAGACTTAATTCTTTACTTCACAAATTACAGTTTACTCATTACTGTCTTTTAAAGAGTTTAGTACCGTTTAATGATTTACAGATATGGTAATCGTTATGTTATTGAACACAAAAAATACCTTAATTAATCAGTAACTCAGTGTTAATAACTTTTATTAAATATTTTCACTTAAAAATAAATGTTAACTATTATCTTTTCAAACCTCCCCTTAAAAGGCGTAAACGGCCATTTTACCTTTATGCTCTCGATAACTCTATGGGCTGGTGATAAAAGAGCTCCATCTAACGGTGTGTTATCATACATTTAATAAATCATTAAAAAAAAGTTTCTGTTTATCATAAAATCGCTCAGGATTTGGAAGTCGTCGGTGCTTTATAACACTAACGGTCAAGTCATTCTAATCGATTAAAGTATCCCTAAAATTGATAGGTGATACTTTTGATTAGCTGAATTTCCTATAATCTATCACTTTAGGACGGCTAGCACAAATAATCATTGTAAAAAAAACAACAAACTTAACACTCGTTTTTATTAGATTTAACTGCTAACAAATTACGGGGAAAATGGTGATATACTTAATTTAAGATCTATAGGTTTGTTAACGATAAGGTTTTTTTGAAAGATCATCTCTGTCTTCTCATTTCTCAACTTACCACTTTGAAAATGCTTAACATTTCCGTCATTAAGCAGCTTGATCACAAAATCTATACTTATGTGTTTTATTATATTGTTTTATAGCTGTTTCTCTTATTTGGAATCTTAAAATGTTAATGACCTTTCTAATGATGGTTAGTTTGTTTGGAATTAAGCACAAAGCTACAATGGGTTATCTGTACTCTGCCCACCACGGGTATCGAAACCCGGTTTTTAACGTTGTAAGTCCGCAGATATAGCGCTGTGCCACTGGAGAGCCCTTTCTAATGACAAATGGCGTTTGTAGTGAATAGACAATTCTCAACCAAATCTGTAATGAGGCTTCCTCCCCAATAGGAATATTTGCGTGATTTTTTATCTCTAGTTTTTACTTCACGAGTTCAACTTTGATCTTATAGTGTAATTAAAGTCAATTTTTTTTTGTCTTTCAGAATAAATAGTATATTTATAAAGACGATAACATTCTAGAAGAGGAAACTCTCTCTCTCTCGACAAGTGTAATACTATGACACAATAAATCGATTGTGGACTGAAAGCTAAAATTTTTCAAGAGATATTTAAAGGGAAGTAAATGTAAACATTTTTGTTTCTGAACTTCACACGTGTTTGAGGTATCAGAGATTTAAGGTTGAAAATAAAACTCCATGGTCTTTGAATAATTTTCGTTTCATTTCTTTAGTGTAACGTTATAAATGTCAATATATATATATCAGGCTATATTTGGAGTATTGTGTTCAGTCTTGGGCTCTTTACCTTAAGAAGAACATTGAATTGTTGGAAAAAGTTTTGAGAATGGTTAGTAGAATGTTGCCTTGGATGGAGGGGTTATCATATGAGGAGAGATTAAGATATCTAAAATTATTTTCTCTTTAAAAAAAAAAGAATTTTTAGAGCGGATCTGATTGAGGTATTTAAGATTTTAAACGGAATTGATAATGTTTATTTTTTTTTTTTATATACTTAACGGCAAGAATAGTGTGTGTGTGTATGTTTTGCTTACAGCAAAGTACGTCGGGCTATCTGCTGTGTCCACCGAG